GGGAAAGGAAAACGAGGAATGCTGGTACAATCAAAGGACACTATAGTTACGTTTGTCATTCGACCTTTCCGAAATAAGCCCATCCTCGGGCTTGACCAACTCATGAGTGGGGACTGCAACAAAACTATCAAACCACCCCCCCCCCCCCGGTCATGGTCATCCTAGGCATCCACAAGGGTCCGAGTACCTCGACTAGCATCAAAATAATTTCCCCCCTAAGCGGCTTGGGGGCAAACAAATGTTGAAAATGTTGAAGGTGCAAGAGAGAGAATGGTATGTCAGCTACACTTGCTAAGAAATAGAAGCACGCACGAGCCTTCATACATTTGTCCCAACTTGGCCTAAGTACACATTGAAATGGTGATAAAAGTTGAAGATCACATGATCTATCTTCGAACCCAAAGGTGAACGGATAAGTGTAGATGAAGGAGAAACCCGGTCTGTGATCGAAAATTCTTCGCCTGAGGGACGTGAATGGCGACACAATCACCCATCGACAATCATGAAGGATCAGGGAAACATGTTCTTCATGGACAAGGAACTCTATGTTATTAACATGTGGACTCCCACATTGCGTTGTGTCACGACCTAAATCGATGGGCCGCAACGGGCACCTGGTTCCCTTACTCAGTCGAGTACCAACGTAACGTATCTTTCTCATTACATTAACATGGGTAAATGGGCCATAAGGGCCATATGAGGTAACAAGAATAAAACATAAGAGAACACTTGACATAAAACGACCCAACCTGATTATGGAAACTTATATATGTGACATACGGGCCTATAAGGCCAGGCATGATCATTTGTAAACTCAAACATAGGCCGACCAGGCCATGCAAGTATCCGTATATATGACATCTGTCTACAAGCCTCTAAGAGTACATAATATCGTAAAGGTCGGGACAGGCCCCACCATACCAATCAATACATGTACTAATCATACTGACTAAGTAAGCAACTCCGGAGCAAATGGAGCGCACCAACACCTTTCGCTGAACTGATAGCCTACTTGGAGGACTCTCAACCAGTCTATCGGAACCTGAGCGCATGAAACGCAGCGTCCCCAAGAAAAAGGGATGTCAGTACAAATAATGTACCGAGCATGTAAGGAATGAGAATCAGTAAATAATAGACGTGAGAGAAACATGGAGTAAATGACTCGACATGTAAGTCTGAATAACTCTGTGAATCATTAATATGTATAATGCCATGCATATGCGTATAAATGTCATGTCGTGCATAGGTACATGTGTTCATAACATCATCAATCCTCTGAGGGCATCCCATCATATCATCTCGGCCATTGTGGGCAAAATCATCAACGTATACCCGCTGATCAGGTGGTGGTGCATATATAACGCCGTAACCTTTTCCCATATCCCGTATACATATAATATACATATATATGCGTATATAACGCCATCCGGTCATGGGTCAATGTGCATGTAAATGCAATGCATGAGAAGTACGTCAATAAAATATCTCGGAATGTCATAAGACGATTATGCCTTTGAATAATATCATGAAGTAAACTTTATCAACTTACATATTTTCTGAGACCCATGAACAGACGATAGAATAATAAGACATATGGGGAATCAAGAACATAGGAACCTCTAGTATTTCTATGAATAGAGTCATTTATGGAAGTTGTGCATTTGCTCGTTTCGTTTGTATCGTATGGATCATGCCAAAAAGAAAGAAGGGATAACCTTAATATACCTGAGTCGATTTTTTTGACAATCCCTCTAACACACGTCAATTGCGACAATATGTAACGGCAGATCGAAGTAGGGGAAAATCCGTATGATATTCTTAAGAAAGATTATACCGTACTCCATTAGAACTTGCAAATCTCGTTGCTATTACACGGTATAACTTCGTACAAAATTCTTGAAGCAATTTACATTGCTATCATCTAATCCTGTATGAATTTTGTGGCTTCTTGTTGCTTGTCTTGGACATTCCTTTGTATAAGTTTGCTGGAAAGAATTCACATTACCATAAGCTTTATAAATCCATTTGTTGCTTTGTAGTAAACATCTCTATAATATAATTTTGATCATAATATTGAATGTGACTTTTGCTGAAGCTTTCATCTGTATCTTTGTAATTTCAAAGATTGGAATTATGCCTTTCACTTTTTGAACTAAGAAAGGCCTTCTTAATTAGCATCTTTACACCCAAAAATGAGATGTGGATGCAAGTAGTGCCACCTCCTCCTTAGGCATAAGATTGTTGGCAATTTGTTACCGCATTTACATACCCCAACGTGTATAGTTGTCCCCTTATAATTATCCAACAAATTTCACTTAAATATTTATCCACAAATCCAATAATTAATCAATTATCCACATAATTAAGAATTATCTAAATTTACTTAAAATACTACTCACTTTTAATACACTTTATACATCTTATTATCATGGCCATGTGGTAACTTGTATGGTACCAGTCCATAAATACCGGGTATTTTAGCTCGGGCCATATTTTTTCCCAAAATGTCAAACTTCGATGAAATTCATTTTCTTCGATTTGCTTACCCTCTCACCTTCACGAATTTACTCATCAGTTGTTTGAAATAGCATAATGCTTATAATCTCAAAATAATCTCATTCCCGAACTTACGTCGATTAACTTACGACGAAACTTTAACACGCGAAAATGGGGGATGTAATATCTCATTTTCGAGCTTCCATCAATTTACTTATGGCGTACTTTCACGTACGAAAATATTGGGTGTAACACGTTGCTGCCTTGTTCCACACTTCAATTACTTCCTCATAATCCTAGCTTTTGGGAAGTACCTCCAAGATTGTAGGCTCGGAGGTCTGCTTCCCTTTTTTGTCTATGTGAGATTTGGGAGCTTTTTACCAGAAGGACTAGCAAGTGAAGCCTCCACTGAAGCGATAAATGCAGAAGAGCGGATGTTTCCTGGAGAAGGTAAAGAAGTACCACTGGCCAAAGGCGTAGAAGGTTGGTTGTCCCTTGAAGAGAAGCCAAAGCCCCGGGGATCCATGTGAGTTACAAACAGGGGGATAGAAGAAGGAAGAGGTGGTCGAAAAATAAGGGAAACAAGAAAGGAAGAGAAGAAAACCAGCAAAGGAAGTTTGAGTTAATGGAAAGGCCCATAACCCAATATATATAGGCGGAAAAATTCTCCTTTTATAACTACCAAAATGAGGAAAGATTCCCTATCATAGTAGTCATCATTGCCTCGAAACTGTAATAGGTGAGAAGTCCAATAAAAAATGGTCATGTGTTCTTGCGTATTAATTGCGGATTGCCATGAGTCGCGTCAATCTTGAAGATTGAACTTCGATGAGACTCTTTCTTGCAAAGGAAGAACCCTCTGCAAAATCAACTCCTACCAAGAAAAGAAGACTATCACTTATTGAGCATTCGTCATCGAGTCGCCTAATAAGTTGGGAGACGGACTATATGGGTAAAAATTACCCTCTCCACGCATCTTGACCAAAAAGTCCAACGTGACAATTAAGACCTAAAAATCAAGTGACGGGACCCGTTGTCGAATTCATAAGATTCTGAGGTTATTGTCATCGAAGGGTCAAGTATTCGAGAGGCAGTCAAATAAGTTCGGGGACTCAGTAAACCTTATCCAATGGAAGCTACCTACGCTACGCCGAAATGGAAGCCACAATCGAGGATCCCGCTATCCACTACCTAATCCAATGGCGTGCTGGCTCAAAACTCGGAAGAACAACTTTCTTCTCGCCACCATAAAAGTTGATCCTATGCTCAAAAGGGGGATCATCGAAGACACACAAAAAAACTCTTTGTAACAAAAATACTATCTTGTGCTAGCCTTTTTCTGTCTAAGCTTTGTAATTGAGTCATACTTGTGAGCATAGATCGCTCGGGACTAGAAATAAAGAAGAATTTTCTCTATCACATTCTTCTTTTTTAATTATTTCACTATTTCTCGTTTATCTTTCTTCATTTTTTATAATTGCATCGAGGCAAACAAATTGTCAGTGGCCCTTGAAAAATACAAATTTGATTGTTTAATCTCAAACAATTTTCCCTTTGAGTGCATAATAAGTATTACTTCGGTGCTAGTTAAACAAATTATTTTTCATGACTAGTCTAATAGCCCGTTTGGCCAAGCTGCAAAAATTAGCTTATTTTGAGAAGTACTTTTTTCAAAAGTGTTTTTCTCAAAAGTAATTTTGGTGAGAAGCATTTTGTGTTTGTCTGATTAGTTTGAAAAGCACTTCCGAGCAGCAATTAGTATTTGGACAAGCTTTAAAAAACTCTTCTAAGTGTAATTTTCTCAAAAGTGCTTTTCAAAAAAGTACTTCTGGAGAGAAACTACTTTTTTCTGCTTCTCCAAAACTGCTTCTGCCTCTCCTCAAAAGCACTTTTTTCCTTTCAAAAGCTTGGCCAAACACCTTAATTTTTTAAAAAAGCACTTTTGTCGAAAAAGTGTTTTTGCCTCAAAAGAAGCTTGACCAAACATGCTATAGGTCTTTTAGACAATATTCAATTGAATATTATATGGTGTAATTTGTTGGGATCTCGATAAAAAATGGCCACTACCCGATCAATATTTGACCAATAGCCAACACAACTATTTTGTCAACTTTTTGACATAATTAGCTCATATTAATCGATTAACTGATATGAGTAGCTTTTCATATATTGGTGGTTCATTGATCTAGATTACCGTCTAAATCATATTAAAATTGCCAGTAATCAAGGACATGACGGAGATAGCAAAATGCATAAAATTAGGTTAGTGTGAAATTTAATTACTTTTGTCGTACACCCCGAACGAGCTAAGAAAATTATTATTGTCAATCCTAAATTCTTAATTCTAAATTCTCACCTCAATCCATTGCTAGATGATAAGACCTTAATCCTTTTTCCTATGTCAAACCAAGCAAGTAAAGAGAAACAAAGGTTATTTCACTTTCCAACTTTTTACCTTCTCTCTTTCCAAAAACAAAGGTTAAATCCAAAATTCAAATCATATCAAGTTTATTTTAGAGAAAAAAACAGAAAAAGTTGTCTACTTGAAAACCGAGTTTCTATTGGCGTTCATTGTCGGAGCAAATATAATATACTATCCTCTCTCACCAAAAGTCACACGCTCGATTGATGATACCCCTTTAATAGTAAAACCTTTCCAAAGTGTTAAACAATTCAATTTCCCCCAGTTATCTTGCTCGATCTCTCTCCCAAAAATCGTACGATCTAGAAAACCCTAATGTGATAAATGCTACTTTAACCCCCAATTCTGCAAACCCTAGAGCTCGTAGCTTTTGATCATCGTTAAAATTCTCCTTTAATATCGTTTTTGGAATGAAGATTCCTACGGACGTTTTTGAGTTCAAACTCGAGGAGCAGCCTTCGGAAATCGAAGCTAATAGGTTTTGCAGCAAGTATACATTCACCCAAAATGGTAATTTTCAGCTCTGTAAAGTTTTGTTGTTGTAGAAGTTAACCATGGTTTCTGAACTGTTTATATTTCAGTTTTTACTTTTTGGTTCATGGGTGTAGTAACTTCTAATTTTATGAATTGTTTTTTTGTATTTATTGTAATTATATTTAACTGTTTAACTTTTTAGTTCCAAGATGTGTGGGTAACTTCTAATATTGTAACTTGCTTCTGTATTTTTCCTTCAGAAAGTATCATGTCTTTTAAAACTCTTTTATGAACACTTGGGTTCTGTATTTCCCCCTCAGCAAGTATCATGTGTTATTAAGCTCTGCTCTGAACATTTAGGTTGTGTATTTTATTGTGTAACAACTACTACTTCAATCACAAGCTAGTGCCTAGTTGGGGGTCATTTATATAAATTCTCAATTTTCATTTCCCTTCATTTAGATATGTTTCATTCCAACACTCAATAATTTGGAACCCGATAACATTGAAGGTTCTTTAAATTCTCTATTGACATGCAAATCTTAAAAAATATTTGTTTTTCCAGCACTTTTGTTGAGTTGGATTCTGTTCCCGTTTGAGTATAAATCAAACTCATGAACTCTGGTAGATGGAACACACTCTTAGTTCAAGAGTTTGCTTCATAGAATGTTAGAGTTCGTGGTAAGTATTAGAGTAAATTTAGCCCCTTAATGGTCAAATGTAAGATGTTGGCTGTATCTTCACATCTATTTAATATCATTTATCATCAAGTTATCTATTTATTTTATTCCTTCTTTATTTTTCTCAAGTGGAATCAAAGCCTTTACATCCACGTTTCAAAAATAGATAATTTTGTATCTATATAAAGGTGGGGGACTGATCTATGAATAGGAGATGTTAGTACTAGCAGCTACAAGCCCCAAATTACCAACAGGTTCTATGAGCATATTAAAAATTCGTCCTAGCGTCATTTCACTGACCAGAACTTGGAGCTCCTGTCTCAATCACTTCTAATATCTGTTCCTCTCGTTAGACCGTATGTAGCAGTCATAGCTGCAATGCTTACTCGATTATTTCCTAATTATTGTTGTACCCCACTAGTCATATTAATTGGTTGAATTGGTAAATTGGGAGACCATCACCACATCAAAGTGTTGGGGTGGATTTGGGGTCAAAGAACTAAGGGTATTTAACGACGCACTATTGGGAAATTGGAGAGACTTGGGATAGAGGAGAATGCTTTTTGGAGGGATGATTGCGGAGAAGTATGGGGTCTTGGAAGGGTGAGGACGGTCTAAAAATTTCTCACTCCCCTACGGGTGTAAGCTATGGAGTAATATCTTAAGGGTTTTTAATGAGAACATATCATTCTGGGTGGATTATGGGAGTAAAGTAAGTTTTTGGGGACCTTGTTGGTGCAAGAACAACATTTTATGAATCACATTTCCAAATATGTATAGAATCTTCTGCCAAAAGGAGATGCCAATCTCAAAGATATGGAGTCTACAACGGGAGAAGTGCATCGGATTTTGAGGTTTATGAGGAACATATTTACAGAATTTTTTAGCTTGGTCGAATTGCTTCACAAACTAGAAATTATACTGGATAGCCATGATGTATGGATATGGGGGCTGGGGATAACAGAGTTTTTTCTGTTAAGTCCAACTATGAGAAACATTTGACTAGGGAGAAGTCGGCTTTTTCACATGTCTCAATATAGGCCCCTTGGATACCGAGAAAGGTGTGCTCTTTCACTTGACTAGCTGCGAGAGGTTTGATCTTGACAATGGAGAATTTGAGGAAGAGGAAAATTACTTGTATCAAACTTATCAAAAAAAAAAAAAATACTTGTATCAATTGGTGCATCATGTGTAAAAGTTCAGGAGAAGAGGGGAATGATCTCTTTTTACAAAATTGGGAGATTATAGAATTTTTTAGTTTGGTCGAATTGCTTCACAAACTAGAAACTATACTGGATAGCCATGATGTATGGAGATGGGGGCTGGGGATAACAGAGTGTTTTTTTTCTGTGAAGTCCAACTATGAGAAGCATTTGACTAGGGAGAAGTCGGCTTTTTCACATGTCTCAGTATAGGCCCCTTGGATACCGAGAAATGTGTGCTCTTTCACTTGACTAGCTGCGAGAGGTTTGATCTTGACAATAGAGAATTTGAGGAAGAGGAAAATTACTTGTATCAAATTTATCAAAAAAAAAAAAATACTTGTATCAATTGGTGCATCATGTGTAAAAGTTCAGGAGAAGAGGGGAATGATCTCTTTTTACATTGTCAAATAGCATTTTGTTTGTGGTGGAAAATGCTGAGGTGGTTTGGACTTCAGATGATGATGTCAAGCACTGTAAAACGAACAATGTTTACCTCCTTTAGCATTTATGTGGACAGTATGGAGAGAGAGAAGTATGAGAGAGTTTTATGGAGTAGAGAAGGATTTGCACACTTGAGGAATACCTTCTTATCCTTTGGTTCGTCCGTCCCAATTTATGTAATACTCTTTCCTTTTTTAGTCTGTCCAAAGGGATGATACTTTTTATTTTTTGAGACAATTTAGCTTTTAACATCACATTTTACGCTTACTGAATGATTTATAGTCACACAATTATCTGTGCCTTGTTTTAAAGTCTCAGTTTTTCTTCCTTAAATTTTATACCCAGTCAAACATCACATAAATTGGGCCGCAGGTTCCTATATAAAAAAGATTGAGTATCATTTGTAGACAATCATATATTTTTTGTAAGGTTTTATACTTTTTCACTTTCATCCCTTTAACGGAGTTGCTGCCGCTTGTTTTTGTTTCTTCTTTCTCTGTTTCCCAGTTTATACAAGCAAAAAAGAAATCCAAAAAACAAAAGAAGAAGACTGTTAGTAGCAAATTAGTGGGCTTTGGACATAAGAATTGTACAATTAAAAAAAAGTAAAATTTTTTTTCAAGTGAAAATGGTATTTGAAAATTAGAGTTGTGTTTGGACATGAATATAATTTTGGGTTGTTTTTGAAGTCTGAGTGAAAATTTTGAAATACAGTTTTTTAGAGTTTTTCAAATTTCGAAAAATTCCAAAATGCATCTTCAAGTGAAAATTGAAAATTTTATAACCAAAGGCTGATTTCGAGAAAATTGAAAATATTTCGAAAAAAAGTGATAAATTTCTTATGTACAAACGGGGTCTTAGTATTTAACACTTTCTCAGTTTCTCTTGGGTATGCATGTACTTTCTTGGTTTCTCTGTTTCTGATAATCTCTTGCTTAATAGTAAAAAATCAGCTTATATTTGCATTGATAAAGCTTATAAAGCTTTTTTCCCCCATTTAGTAGCTAATTAGTATTTAGTACTTTCTCTAGTTCTTCTAATCTTTTGCTAATAGTAAAAACTCAGCTGATATTTGCAATTATAAATTGATTAATGTTAGTTTTCCTAATAACAATTTCAATGGCATTTAGCACTTAAAATTTGCTAATAGGAGTATTATTTTTGTTGACTTCTTGATTGTTTAGTTATTTTATTTATTTGTCCAATGCCATTTTGATATTCTTTTAAAATTGCGCTTCACTTCAATGAAGCAACATTTCACTTCTTCTCGCTTAAAGCCCTAGGGCGGCCTTTGTTTCTTTATCGCACTTCTCGCTTTAAAAATACTGTTTTTAGGTCCAATTTTGTATATGGGCATTTTATTGCCCCCTTTTTAATAAATTTTTTTACTATATCAAAATAACGAGTAGACATACTATTTCCTGCGTTGAGCTCGTTTACGCTTTTGGTGTTGTTGTGCACTTCTCATTTAACAAGGGTAGATGACTAGATGCAAGTCTAATAAGGATTAACTGCATGATAGAATTTGGGAGAATGACTTGACTGGTTTGTTCCTCTTACCTAAGCTGTTAAAGAAGTGGAAAATATGGTTTTCTCTTGGTGAAGTGAATTACAAAGTATGTTATTATAGGAGCATATTTATCAATTAGATAGTAACATTTATTGCACAATCTGGATTGTGTGTAGTTGTTGTTAGAGAGTTGTGTTACTCATTAGTCTTGATTGGTACTTTGGAGTTTGGTCAAATGAATTGATGGGTGCATTTGGTAGGTTGTTCAATATTTTTGTCGACTATCCATGTCTTCCACCTCTATTTGTTTATGGGTTATTGGTCATTAGGCACTAGTTAGATTATTCTGTAAACTCTGGTTGTCTGTTGCCTAAATAGAAGGGCCCATTGTGAGATACTTGAGGTTCTATTGGTCTACATACCTAATTTGTGATAAATTAAGCCAGTTCCTACTGCCTGGTTCTGCTGAAAAAAAGTAATAGAAGATCAGTCCTTTGTATTTGTGAATTCATCTTATATTAATTTTGGTTTGACATTTTTTATATAAATTTGTTTATCAATATTCATTTAAGGTGCACAAGGAACCAATATAAACTCGAAGGAGACTGGTGATGAACCTACTGTAGACATGGAAGCAGCTGACGGTGATTTCAATGGTAAAAGTGCTCGCTCAAGTCTGGATGCAGAAGATTGTAGTGATGAGAGAATGCTGAGATTGGGTGGCATTCCAACAATTACTTCGACAAAACAAAGGCGATATCCTGATAGGGAACCTAACAATTGTATAGATGGAAGTTTCTTGGAAGGCAGTTCATATACTGCAACAGCTTTTCAGGAGATTTTCTATGGATCTCCTTCCAAAGTATAATGACAATCCATGTTTTTCTTAGTAACTTTATCATTTTGGTAGACTTTTCTCTAAAAAGGGCCATTTCAAAGATGGAATATGTGCAGGATGAATCAGTTGGCACGGATTCTGATGTTGATGAAAGCAGAAGTGATGAATCAGCATCATACTCATCTGCCACCCCAGACAATCATGGTGTGTTATTATTGCCTGTGTCATTCTTTTACACCAATATCAAAACAATTAAAATATTGTATGGTCTGCTTACGTAGCTTCTTGTGTTTGTTTCAGACATCTTAGATGGACCATTATCAAATCATCAGTTTGACCAGTGGGGAATGGTAATGATAGCTGCTCAATTAATGAAAACCTTCTTCATAGTGTAATGTAAACAATATCTAGCAATGAACACTCGCTAATCTGCTCAGTTAGTAAGTGAATGATTGAAGTATCTGCAGTTGCTGGCACCAAAGTCTTATCATTTTGTCTATGCTCTATTTCTATCGTTATTACATTTTGAAAACAAACTGCATTTGCATTGATATTGTATTCTCAATGTGTAAATATAAATGCCAAAACCGATAATGATATGAAACCAGGTGAAGTTTTGCAAATAATCATGATGTACTTGTGGAAATATCGACTTTCAGGGACTGCTTGGTACAAGCTCTTTATAAGGATTGCTGCTTGTTCTCTTTTATCCTTTTAAAACTCTGAGAAAGAAAAATGATACAGTTTTTGAGAAATAGCACTAGTGGAAGGTCCAGGTATCCGCATGCTGGATATTATCTATCCTGAAAAATTCATGCGCTAGGACTTCTACTTTCAAGGATATCTGCTATTCTTTGGCCTGAAGTCTCTTAGAATTAATTATTGGTCTACCGCAGTGAACTCATTCGAAATTAAAATTATTGCATGACTTGTTTTAGTTTCTTCCATTTTATCCTTTATTTACCAATATTTTTCTATTTTGCAGTTTGAAAACAAGCCAATTGTTTTCTGTCCTGATTATCTCTATTATCGAGGAACATCCTACGCAGTCACAGACACTACAGTAACCTTTTCCAGTAATTGTGTTGAGGTCAAAGGCTCAACACTGAACGGGAATTCAGAGACATCTTGCATTCGCTTTGGAGTTGAAGACATATTTCAAATTCAATCTCATTTGTCAGGGAGGGTGAGTTTCATAGTTATTCATTTTGGAGCGAGTGTTACCTAATGCTTGCAGATGTCATGGGGCTGAAAACTCTCATTGCTTTGTTTCCAGTTTGACGTGGCTGTGTTTAAGATCCATGTAAATAAAAGATCAACAACACAAGGTGAAAATGCTCACGAGAGTTCTGGTATGCTTACACTCATGCTCTTTTTCTTGATGTATTCATTTTCTGTTAAACTCTGGTTATATCTTAATTCTATGCTCTTCTTGTTTTGAAATTTTTATGTTATTATGTGTAAGCGGGGATCAGTAAAAGGGCTGTTTGGTCTGATTTTTGTATCCAGTCCATCCTTCTCCCTTTCGCTCTATGGTTTTTGAGTAATGAACATAAGCATATAAAATAAATTGAAAATATGTTTATTGTTTGGAGTTTCTTGTATACACCTCTTCACTTTTGGAGGTCCTAGGGCTATGGGAATTGGGAAGTTGCTTATAACGTGCTAGAGCTGTCAAATGGGCCGGCCAAGCCCAACCTAGCCCAGCCCACGTAGCCCTTGGCATTTCTATGGGTACTTTTGGTATGTGCCAACATTCTTTCTTTCTTAAACTCCATGCCCAATCAAATGCCACCATATAAAATAGTGGAGGGATTACTATTATATAAAATAAAAATCGCAATGAAATGACTTTTTTCTTTGTTGCAAAGAATAAAACCATTCTGTATAGATGACATACTAATTATAGGTAACAGAGTCCGTATTGGACAAAGATAATGTAGAATACCACTTCCAATAATGTAGACAATATCAAGCTATGTTGTCGCACAAGTTTACTCTTCTGTCCTTCCTTTTGATGGTACCTGCCTTCTTTCCTTCACTCATTGTATATTCACGTCTATGTTGCCTTTCGTATCTACATAATGCTTCAGTCTCGCCATTTTGTTTCTTAGAATGTGATTTGGTTTCTTGAACTTTATCCATTGTATGCTCACATCTGTATTGCCTCCTTATATACGTAGTGTTTCAGTCTTGCCAATTTGTTTCTTCTAAAATGTTTTGGTTTCTTGAGCTTTTTCAAAAAAAAAAAATGTTTTGGTTTCTTGAACTCTCTGTTGTATATTCACAACTGTAATGCCTTTCTTATGTATGTAATGCTTCAGTCTCGTCATTTTGTTTCTTCTAAAGTGTTTTGGTTTCTTGAACTTCCATCTTTTTGGCAATCTCATTGATAGAGAGGCAAAATATCTTCTTGTCCTCTAGATTCTCTTCACAATTTTAAGCTTCTACCCCCACCAGATAGTAGAGTTTGGTCTTAGGAACCTTCAAGCCTTTGTACTTGCAAGTTTCTTCTCTTAACTGCTTTGTCTTAGGAACCCACTGGATTTTATTCTTCTTTTATTTCTAAAGTGAAGGTTCCTTCCAAAAATAAAGCTTTAACATAGTCTGAATCGAATGATAGGCTAAACACTTGTGATTTGCTTCAAATTCAGAGCAAATAATGGCTATTTCTTCTAACTAATGTGTAACGTGTAAAGAACTAAGCATAGCAATGAGTTTCATGCACACTAGATGATGCATTGCTCTTTGCAAAGGAAGTCTCGAGGACATTATCTGCAATTATGGGAGCACCATATGTTCTTTTTGATGAGATTTTGTGGCTTTGTAGTTATTGCAGAAGGCAACATTTGTTGGAGTATGCTATATTTGCAGTTCTGAGATGAATTTGGATTGAGTGAAATGCATTATTTGAAGTTAAAACTAGTCCTGGTTTCGGGCCCAGTAGTTTTCTGGGCATCGAAATAGTGCAAGGCAGGAAGATAGGATCAAATGACATCCAATGGGGCAGCACTCATTCTTGTATAGACTCTTATTTGCTTTAAAACTTCTGATGTTGCTTTTTGAGGATAGCGTGATGCCTTGGCCTTGTTTGATTCTTCATCAACATTAATAAATTATGTTTTTTTTGTAAGAATCATGCTTTTATAATTTAAATTGATATTACTAGAAAGAACAATAAAAAAATACAGAAAAGTTATTGAAATGAATTTACTTTCCATCTGCAAGAATAATATTAACATCTCCATTGTGACGTCTAAGAAAATGCAGAATCACATGAATCATGTGATCGTGACACAATACATTGCAGAACTGCAGGATACTGATGGGTTCACACACTATATGAATATTTTAAAGCAGGATATCTTTTTCTTAAAGTATTCAAGCAGAATATGGCAGTTTAAGTACTCTGGTATCATAACTTACGAGTTACGACAACTATGTTGGAGTCTTCAAGCTTACTCTGTTAAACATTAGAGCATTTATTTTGCTGTCTACAGCTTTTACTCTCAAAGTTGTATATTCCTTGCAATGACCACCAATTAATGTGGAGCTGTTTCAGAAAGCTAAAATCTGGTTAAGAGTTCAGGACGGATGTTACGCTGAAACGTTAGCAATATTGTGATATTGTTCTACCAGGTTCTCTAACCTAAGTTCAACTGCAGGAGGACAGCAGATCTTGGCTGATGCTACATTTGTTTAGGGCTGAATTAGAGCTGAAACTGTGAGGAAAACTAGAGCCTTTAATATTGGAAAATCACTGAATTTGGAGGGTCAAATATTCAGGTTTTTAGAGCTGCTTAGGTTGGTGTGTCGACGTGCAGTGATTTGGAAATTAGGAGGGAAACCATAAGATTGAAAGCTCTGAAAATCCTGTGTGCCTTCCCTAGTAATGTCCCAAAGATGAGGCTGAATAAAGAATTAAAGAAGCAACAAATGCTTACTTTGAATCCATGTGAATGTAATCATGATCTTTCACTATTTCAAGTTCCAGGTAAGGAAACTTTTATAACTTGGCTTCTTTTCCACTTAGAAATGCAAATCAAATAGGAAAGGTTAATAAAATGAACTTAAGGCCTATTTACCATATTAAGAGCAAACATGTTGAGAGATCTAAGGTTGTAGGGCAAGTTCAACTCTAGAAACTTAAAAAGAAAACTGAAAAACTTTAAATAACTTATATTCTTACTGTTATACCTTTGACGCATGCTACAAGGTAGGTCCGTATATATTAATTTTTCTTCTTTCTTTCTCCACTTGTGTTTTATATTTGTCTTTATAGGAAGGCTTGTGTTATATATATATATATATATATATATATATTGATGCAACATGTCTAAGAGAGTATGAGGTGGTTTAGTGTTTGCTGCTTGTTTCCTTGAAATTCCTATGGTCTCCTATGATAAATTTGATCTTGCATCTGGTAATGAATGCTGAAGTGCTTAATGTCAAAGGTATTGAGGAGGTGGAGTTTGCTGTTAATGATTTTGACTTGTCCGAGAAATGTGAAGCAATTCAATCTTTGGATGGCTACAAAACAGTATGGAACTAGTGAGTCCTTTCAATCACCTTTTCTCACTCGTGCTATTGCTTTTGGTTGCAGAATTAATGTGTGTATTAATTCCTCTTATGTGTTTGCTAGTTTTTGTTGAATGATGGGTAATTTTTTCCTGTTGAGCTGGATTTTGAATTGTTATCAGTTCTAATTATTGGGGCTAATTCTCCTTGGAGTAACATTTTCTCATTCTTTAGTTAAGAGAAAAGTTACTGCTAGAGACATATGAATCTGGGTGCTTTACTGTGTTGAGCGTGTTCTAGAGTTTCTTGTAGAGTGAAATGCCTGGTTTCTTACTCCACTTTCATCCTCAGCTAGTTGGTTCTACCTGTTGATTTTAGTGCAGTGTTGTTTTGATATTTTAATAAGTCCCAGTTTTATCTATTTGCTCACAATTGCTTATTATTGGACATCATGACACTGCCCTTTCCAAATGCATGAACTGTAACATTGCTTCAAGCTCCATCAAGACACTGAACTTGATTGACTCTGCGTACCTAGGACTTAAGCTCTTCGTTTATTATTTATATATGTTGTAGTTGTGTTATTCTGCTCTAATCTTGATCACCTGGTCATGTAGCAATGAGATTGAAGAATGGAGGGAGAATTCACATAGAGAAACATCAGATCAGCAATCCAAGAAATATTTTCCAAGGTTAGTGAAGCAGTTTGTTATACTCTCTGTCTCTGCAGGTGGAGATTTAGATTCTGTTACCTGAAGGGTCTCTTTTCTTATTTGTGTTAATAGTTGTCTTTTATCCATACTTTCTTATGAGATTTTAGTGATATTACTTTGAAGGGTGCTTATAACTTGGTAAAACCACTACCCTTTCTCTGTGCATGTGCAGTATGCAGAGCCATGACTTTGGTACACAGTATTTGGTTTCCATTTTATGAATGTTCTTTATTCTCATTCCATCTTTGACTTAGTAAATTAATCTTGTGGTCAGGGTTTCTTTGTCTTGGATTCTTTTCTCCCTGAAACTCTAGGCAGATGAGCTATAATAGTCGAACTTCTGTCCAACAGCTAGCTTTCTCCATATTCCTTATGCAATAGGTGATCCATGTTTTGGCACCTCCATGTTGTCCTTTTTCTTCTTTGTTTCCCTTCCTGTTATGGTATTTATTCATTGAGCTCTTATCTTTGACTGGGTAGCTTAGTCCTGTAGCAGTAGGCAATGAGAATTTGGATGTTGAAATATCTAAGCTGCCTAAAAGATATTCTCCCAGTTGATTGAAACAGTTTGTTCTCCTTTGTATGTGGAGATTTGAGTGCTGCTTTGCTTTTTTATCCAGGCTTTCTCGTTTCTTATGTGTCTGGGTGTCTTTTCTTGGGAAGAGTTTAACACATCGGGGTTCATTGTTTCACATAATGATCATCAAAATGGGGTGAAAATTCTTCTAAAAAAAGGGGGTGAAAATACCCATTCTGTTTTTGATTAAAAACAAGTTTATGCAGCAATTGTGAAGATCTTCAAAATGTTATAAAGCACTAACTTCATAAAAGAAAGAATCACTCAAGAAGGTAGTTACATTGCTGAAAATCAGAGTAGCATGCAGAATCAACCAATCAAAAGAACCAATGTATACATAGTAAACCCCCGAGTAAATTTGGTTTTGGCACTGTTTTTGGAGTGGGAATAAACTAAACTTTGGCAAGTGGGTGCCTGGGCGGTAGGACTTAACCCCCCGAATCGGTCCAAGGTTCGAGGCTCAGATTCGCTGCACTGTGGTGGGCCCAACCCAGCCTGACTCAGCTCCTAGGAGGCTGAGTCTGTCCACCCCCCAAAGCCCTAACTTGACAGGCCCAGTATACGGTTTAGCTCGAGACCTGCCAAGCCGTTCAAACAGGCATAGGCCAACTAAACGGTATCCCTCAAGACAAAGGCATTTTTTAGGATGCTACTTTCAAGATATGACCCTTATCTTGTATTTCCAAGTTTAAAGGGTGCAACCAACTACATAGAAAAAGCTTTGTGTGAAAAAATACACACCTTCGGTACAGATAACTTAATTACTATTCAAATATATGACTTCAATACTAATTAAATAGTCGCTATTGAAAAATTAACATCATATGAATAATTAGTATTAGATTAACTTTCTTGCAAGGAATATGTTTGATCCCTTGATCTTGTATTTCCAAGTTTAAGGCCAAAATCAATTCCACCAAAAAAGAGGCTCTTTTTTTTTTGACAAAGCTCACACCTTTAATAGAAATGACTTATTTACTACTGAAATCATGAATTTTTATACAAATTACATATTCACAATGAACACAATTAGCATCATATATAAATAATACCGTAAAGTAAGATAATAGTTATCAAAGAAGAAGTTAGCCGAAACCAAGATAGACGTACTATACAAAGGAGGAACTGCAAGAGTGGAGGGATAAAGAATGGATCAAGACTTGGTAGGGTTAGTTTGGTTCAATGGCAGAGCACAATGCATGATGTGGGGGTTAGATGCAGGTGACAAATTCGGATCCTGCCGCACACAAAGGCTTGGTATTTTAGTAAAGAAGGATAGAGCGGCGGGCCCATTATCCATTGTTTTTGAATCTTGCACTAGTTGGCCCTTGGCGATTTGTTGGTCATAAAACAAAAGAGGCACATTTTCTCACACACTATGGGGGTGATGGTTTAGGTTGTGGCTGGGTTATATGTTTATATAAGAGGTGATTCAAAGATCTTCAACTAGAGATTAATTGAAGATTTGGTTCTAGTATGTTCATTAGAGTTCTATAATGGATTCTTCTTTTTTTATTTTTTTCGGTGAGTAGAAGGGAGTTTTTTTATTTGATAGGGGATATGGAGAAGCGACTTAACTAGCATTGATACCACGTGGAAAAAGAAGAGGAGAAAGAAGAGGTGTGGAAAAAGACGATTAAAAGATTTTGGTAATGTCTAGATTGATCATTTCCTCAAGCCGTTGTGGTTCAAATAGTTTGTAAATATGCTCTAAATTAGGAAATAATACACAGTGATAGTAATTGATATCCCTAATTGCCTTTAATGTGCATGATATTTATTAATCTAAATTCATATTTACAGAATATCTGTGATTGCTTTCAATAGAAGAAAACTATGACATCACACTGCAGTTATGTGTAAGGATTAAGGAATAGAATTTTGGCTCTGCTCCTGACATGTTCTCCCAGTCTGTCCTTGAACTACTTCCTAGTGAGGCCCACTAAAAGTACACTGGCATGACATCCTGAATTTTGGCTCTGCTCCTGACATGTTCTCCCGGTCTGCAAACTAACCTTTTTTAGGCTATGGTTGTTAATCTGGTAAAATTCAGGATGTCATGCCAGTGTACTTTTAGTGGGCCTCACTAGGAAGTAGTTCAAGGACAGACTTCTTGTTGCAATATTTATAAAATTGAAGTTGAATTATTAAAGGGACTCTTTTTGGCTTGTAAAATTTGGTCTTTCTCATTTGAAGTGTGTGTGTGTGTGTGTATATATATATATATATATATATATATATATATATATAAAAGCAAGATTTCTTTTCTTACTATCTGATGCTGAAGAAATTCAAAACTTTGCAGTTACGGTGAGCCGCTTGAAGAAGTTTATTATCCTAAAGGAGATCCTGATGCTGTTTGCATTAGTAAGAGGGACTTTGATCTTCTGGCACCAGAAACATTTGTCAATGATACAATTATTGATTTCTACATACAGTAAGTTCTCTTATTGTCATACCAACATATAATATTTGGCGTACAATGAAGAATCATTGAATATTCTGAAGCTAGTCACCTTGCTTAGTGCATGCTTCGTACATTTTCTTTTCGTTTTTCTCACAGAATTGAAGATTTGTATGAATAATATGTGAGGACTGCTGATTTCTACTTTTTTTTTCCTTTGACTTTAAACTTAATTTCTTGGTTTGCTTTGTGCCACCATTCTCATTTGGTATGAATTGAAACTCAAAATACTGGCAGGTATTTGAAGAATGGAATTCCTCCAGAGAAGAGGCAACGATACCATTTCTTTAACTGTTTCTTTTTTCGAAAGTTGGCTGACATGGATAAAGATCCAACCAGTGCATTTGATGGTCGTGCTGCTTTTTTGCGTGTCCGTAAGTGGACAAGGAAAGTGGACTTATTTGATAAGGACTTTGTTTTCATTCCTGTAAATTACAAGTAAGAAATGTGAACTTCTGTTTTTTTCTGTAGAGGTGCTCTTTCGTAGTTAGTTGTAAGTAACTTATCTCGTGAACTGACAGTTATCACTGGAGTCTGATTGTCATATGCCATCCTGGTGAAGTGGCTAACTTTACAGGCAAGTCCATTCTGTTTTGCTTGACTTTTGCATTTGCCTTGCTGTTTTTCCTAAGAAATTGTTTCGTGTCTTTTAGATGATGATACTGCAGTTAGCTCAGTCAAAGTACCGTGTATATTGCACATGGATTCTTTTAGAGGAAGTCATGTGGGTCTCAAAGATCTTCTGCAAAGGTAGCAGTTTCCCACTAACCAGATATTAATATTTGAGAGAGTTCTTCAATGTTTGCCAGGGTAACATGCAAGAATATCTAACAAGCAGGGATAGTAGGCAGTGATACTTGAATTATCACTGGTCGTATCACTACCAAGCTGTATAGCTTTTATGGATGTTTTTATAAACTGAATTTTTAGATGCTACAATTTTTTCTATCTTGTCTTTAGGAAAGCAATGAGTGCATATGGGGTTGAGACTATGCAACCACAGGCTATTGCGTTCTACTAAACTAGGTGTTTATGGGGTACATATGTCAGGCTCAGCCTAAGCGTACTCAATTAAATGGGCAATCATAACTATTGTATCATCTTAGGGATCATTTGGTTCAACGAAAGTTATACGGGGATTATATATTGGGATTGTAATATGAAGATTAACAATCATGAGATTATTTTGTGCATATGTATGTATATACCGTGTATAATCTTAAATATATGTTTGGTTTTGAATGGTAGACTATTTGTTTACTATTATACCCCTGAGATTCTTAGTAACATTTATTTGAATTAAAACAATGCTAATTTCCCATGTAAAGCCTTCTCAGTTCATTGGAACAAGAAGGAATTGATGGATCCAATATCTACTACCTTAGAAATGTGGATAAATAAATAAATAATAAATTGTACTCCCTCCGTTCACTTTTACTTGTACACTATACTAAAAATATGTTTTCACTTTTACTTGTCCATTATACTGAATCAAGAGAAAGTCAATCTTTTTGTTTTTTTTCCTGTTTTACCCTTATCATTAACTACTAATCCCCCAAGACTTTTGAAAATGCTGTCATTATTATGGGTAAAATTGTAAAATACATACTTTATTTATGTTTTCTTAAAGGGAGTGCAAAGTCAAAAGTGGACAATTAAAAGTGAAGGGAGGGAGTACAAAAAGAAGAAAGATCATGTTGCCTTCTGTTCTTTGTTCTCACCTGGAAAAGCAACTATTTAAAAGCATATATAAGTACAGAAGTTGAGAAGGTATCTGTGGTACTTCAACTCTTTCTCTCCATTGGCTTTGCGTCAATGCTATTCCGGTGCAGATTGGTGTCTTTGGTCACCTGAGGGGTAGTGGTTAGAGCTAATATCATCTTGAACTCAATTGTACCTTTCAGAATGTGATACTAGATAGAGTTGTGACTGGAATTAAAATACCTATATATTTTTTCTATAATAATAAGTAGCAGTCATTTGAGGAGATTGTCTTTAAAGTTTTTTTTTTCTCATCAGGTGTGGAGTAGTTGGATTTGGAAATTTTTATAGAGCAACTATTAAGATAGAATCAGTTGTTTGTTGATTCTACCGATATCTAATAGGAACCTCGACATGCTCCAACTCTCTAGTCGTGCCGCAGTGTCAATCACTTTTTTGAACAATTATATAGCCTGCAGAATCATCTGCTTCTTACTTAAGTCTTCATGCTACCCACCCTGAACCGAAGAGGAGTAGGGGAAGATACACTTAATGATAAAAAAGATGCTTGGAAGATGTTTTATGTAAACAATGCAATCTTTCTACTTCCTCAGAGGCTGAATGTTACAAGTTAATTCAAAGTTTAGCTGGCATAGAGACACTTGAAAGTTGTATCGTATTGCTTCAATACTCTATGCTGCTGCAGAATCTAATGAGTGTTGCCATTTCCATCTTACTTTGCAGTTATTTTCCTTGCAGATAGCATCAAATTGATTGAATTTGACTTCAGTGCTGTCTTATTTTCCTCTTTTAATAACAGCTACCTCTGGGAGGAATGGAAAGAGAGGACAAAGGAAACGTCTGAAGTTGTCTCCTCAAAATTTCGAAATTTGAGATTTCTTTCTCTTGAGGTACAACCTGAAGTTTCGTTGCCCATTCCTATAAATTATTTGCATTCCCATACAAAACTTGTCTCATATGAGGAATTTGAATGTTCAGTATGAGAAAATAAATTTCAAGTTTATGAGATGATGTAATTTTACCTTCTTTGATATTGCCTTTCTGTGTTAAAGACATGGTCTCTTGTTGATTGTGATGCTAGTTGTTTAAGAATTGTGGTTGTCATCACCCTCATGGACTCCTTGATATAAACGTTTTGATATAAAATTCATTGAGGGGGAATGGTATAATGGTAAAGTGCATCGGACGTATGACAAAATTTATCGGACAAGAATCACTATGAAGTTGAATTTTGGTAGCAAAGTTCTGTTGTAATATCATTAAAATCTGTTAAGTGTTCATATCCTACTGCGTCAAAGGCTGTGGTTTGAAAGAATTTGTACTTCCAAAATTATATTGGAGCCAAATTTGTGATTTGTGTATCTATGGTCTTTAACGTAACTTGGGAGGAAAGTTTTACTTGTACAAATTTAATGGAAGAGAATCACTTTGATGCATTGGATTTTGGTTCCAATGTTTTGTCGTCTGTAGGATTACTACTATCTGTCCAAGTTCATGGCCAACCATGGCAAAGGCTGTGGTTTGAAAGAATTTGTACTTCGAAGATGAAAATGACATCGGAGCTAAATTTGTAATTTTATATTTTTTTGTCTAAGACCTTTAAGATAACTTGGGATAAGAGTGTTCAGTGTTACTTATTCTAAAGAAAAAGAGTCCCCTATGTTTAAGTTATCAATGTCAAGCAACGTCTTTTCAGGTGCTGTTGTTTGTCAAATTAGATTAAGTTGGGTTTGTGTCCACGAAGGTTCAACCAAGTTGATGTTTTGGTAATCTGTCTTTCTTTCTGTTCCGTCTTTGGTACTTATGCCTCCTCCATTGGTATTTTTTAGGATCCTTTGTACCTGACCTTTTTGATTAAAAAAGAATATATTCCTATCATCATTTCTAATATAGCACCCGCGCGATGCGCGGAGAATATAAATTATGTTTTGTGAGCTAATTTGTTTGACAACATTATATCATATTGCTTGAATTAAATTTCAATTCCCTTTTTTTATCCAGTGAAACATGCCCAAGAAGAAAATCTTATGAGATTAGAAAAAGGATTCATATGGCCATCGAATAACTTTTCAGTTCCTCACTTTTCTTTGTTACATAACCTACTACATTTAGTATTATTTCATTTGCTATTATGACGTTTTAGCTTGTTGCTTGACTTAATATTTTTGTTAATTCTTTTTTTAAATATAATATAGATATAGATATAGATATATATTTTTCTTACTCCCAAAACTTTTTCTTAAACCTTGTTTTCCATTGTACGTCTTCATCTGAATTTGTCCAAAATATAAATTAATTTTTTTAATAGTTATAAATCTACCAATTTTTTTTAATAATTGGTAGTCTATGCCTAGAAATTAAGTTTTTCTTCTCATTTGAATTTTTATTAAAATTTTGATTTTTAAGATTTGTTTATTAAAGTCAACTATATTTTAAATTATGCTTTATTGCTTGGTATTCTTCTATTGCCTAATATTTTTGGTTTTTGACTTTATCTATTAAGATTTGAGTTACGTGATATTTTACATATGTATGATTTTGTCATTATAACTCAAATACGCCTTCTGATTTGAAATTCTAATAAATTTTATTATTTTTTTTTATATTTTATACCATTTCTTTTCCTTTTGTTCCTCGATTATCATTATTGCTTTATTCGTTGCATGATTGCACTATCATGTGAATTTTTTATTAATGTGCCTTTAGATTTAATGTCCTTGCTTATTACCTCCTTTAATATAACATAGATAATATATATTTCTTACTCCTAAGAAAGTTGGTTATTAATTTATTACTCTTTTACTTGAAATTCATTTATTGTTCTATATCTTTTTATATTTGACCTTATCTATTACTCTCTCCGGTCCACAGTAAGTGACCCATTTATATAATCAAGAAAAAATTCAAATTTGTTTTTCCAAAATTAGCCTTATGTACGTATCCCTAAAAGTCTTTTACTACTCACATTTGAGAAGAAAAGTAAGTACTACTATGACTATGGTGCAACATTTAATGAAGGGTAGTTTAGTCACACTAACTATTTTCGTCTAGAATTTAGTATTTCCTTAATGGGTGTGCTCAAAGCAAGTTGGTCACTTGTGGACCGGAGGGAGTATGGTTTTGGTTATTTTAATTATTTGCATGAATTTTCTCATCATAATTCAAAAGATACTTTCTCTTCTCAAATTCAAATAAGTTTCATCTCTACAATTTTATAATAATTTTTTATTTTTCTTGTGAGTAAGTTTATTTATAAGTTACTTGAAATTCTTTCATTGTTCAATATTATTTGATTTTGGTTTTATGAAAACTACTCTCTCATCTCAAATTTAAATTAGTCTCATCATTTTATATTGTTTTACTTTTTCTCGATATGCCACTTGGTTCATATCAAGCTTGACTACCATCTTTTTAATATATTATCTTCATATCAAGCTTGACTACCACTTGGATTCACTTTCAAGCTTGTTTAATTCTTCAATTGTCTACATTTATCAATGATATATTGAGTACAATCTATGTACTTTCTTTTATTTCTTAAATTTAGTATTTTATGTATAATGTGTAACTGAAAAACTTTCATAGTTAATACTAATTTTGATTTTTTACTTCGTCCAAACTATCTGTTCTTTTATTATTTTGTGTAAAATGAATCAGTATTTTTAATATTTTTTAAGCAATTAGATTTTTTTTCTATTTTATTTTCAATATAAAGTTCTAATTTTTTTTTTACTATGTTGCTTGTAATTGTTTCATTATTATATATCTTTTATTTTGTGTGAAGTGATAATGACTTGCGAGACCAATATAAATAGGGGGAGAGAGAAGAATGTATTTTTTTTTAAAATTAATTCAACTTTTTTTGTCTCGATTCAATTTTACTTTATATTGATTCAAATATTTTTGTATATCAATTCAAATATATACAGAATCTCGAAATGATATAATCTAATAAGAATATTAAAGATTTTGTATTTTAGCTTTCAATTTCAAATACACTCTTAGCATTACAAATTGTCTATATAAATCTAAAATATAAATATAGATTAAATTTTGTCATAAAATCTAGTTAACTTTTGCCTTTAAAGTGCGAAGTAGCATTTTCTCTATGACACTTGGCTTGACCTCATGCTTCACTATTATTCTTTTAATATAATATAAGAAATATTATGTGTTGGGAACGTTCCAATTTAAAATAGTAGGTTTCAGAATAAATAATTTTCAATATATAAAATTACTGTTTCCGTGAAAGAAATAGTTAAGTATGTTTAAATTCAAATTCAAAAAGAGTAACTAATTATTCACAACATATAATGCATAATTAATTTTTTAAAATTTAAATTAAAAAAAACTAATTATTACCGAAACTAACTATATGCTTTTTCCTCTCGTTTTAATAATATATAGCTTGCAAAGGAGAAATGTAATCGAAGAGTCTGAACAGAACAACATATACCCTTTTTTATTACTAGGAAAAAACCCTTTGTACCGGATGATCTAAGATATCTTGCTTGCTTCTTCTGGTTAATTGAGAAGTTACCATTTTTCTTCAAAACTTTTTCTGTATCATATTACGTATCAAAAAGATCAGACACACTTCTAGATGAAGAGTAGAAGTTCAAGTTATTAGAGTGAGCTGATTTTATCCCTACTTTGGACCTACTTGGATATAGAGAATTATTCTTGCGTGGAAGTTCAAATTATTATTAAAATTGATTTGATTACCAACTTCAGACATAATTGCATTTAGAGAATTGTTCATGTATTACTACTCTGCGTAGTAAAAGTTGTTGTCATTGTTAGTGCTTTGAACACAATGATTTAATGGATGATACAACAGTAACAATAAACCCAGTTCTAATCCCACAAGTGGGGTCATGGGAGGGTAGTGGGTATGCAGTCTTACCCCTACCTTGAGATGATAGAGAGGCTATTTCTGATAGACCCCCGGCTCAAGGAAAGATGAAAAAGGAAGCAGTAGCAATAAGCAGTAACACCAGCAAGATAATAAGAAAGCTGCTGAAACTTTTACTAAATAATATCATTTCGTCTGCAAAGAGCTCTAGCCTCCAGCTTGACTCAATTTAGTCAGTTTAAGTCCTAGAAATTTCTTCTCCTTTTAGCTTCATTATGGATAATAGAATATACTTTACAGCGGGGGTAAATCATATGATATAACTGAAAATCATACGGATGGAGAAACGTGGTTTGAATGGGTTGAGCGCACGAGAAACTTAATGAGAAGAATGACTTTCAGCTGGAAAATTCTTCTGTGGATGTGATTTATTGCATAAAGCTTCTGAAAGGAGGGGTAATGTCTCCAATAGGTGGAGAACCAGGGATCATTTATTCAACTTTTACTGCTCACAGAAACACAACAGTTACGGGAGATTTATTAGTATTGTTTCTGTACGTGGGGAAAGCAGAGCAGTTATTATTCTACCTGAAATTGAATTACATGCAGGGTGGGGAGAGAAAGCCTCTAAAATAGAAAGGTTCATTCACAGAAACTTTCCCTTTACAAGAGAAACGGAGCTTCCAAAATTACATCACGCTTTTGCTCATACTCTACGCTCAAACAAATGGTCAGAATCAATTGCCAACATCAAAGTTATTCAACCAGAAGATGGCCCTATCAAAATCGTTGGTTCAATGCCAACAGTCAAAAGTCTTTTGAACATATGCATCGTCGGCAAGTTCTCGAAAGAACTTGACATAATTCCCTCACGCACAGAGGTTAGAAGATGGGTAAACAACAAGTGGAGTGATGCCGTTGGAGTCTATGAACTGAATGGACTACTTTTTCTCTTCGAATTCCCAACCAGAAGGATGGCGGAGCAAACTATGGAGGAAACCTGGAGATGGAAGAATGCTACTCTGTTGCTGCGATGGTGGTCGCTGGCAGCAGCTTGCTATCCTTTTGAAACAAAATTCGACTGGATCTGGGTGAGGATTCTCGGACTCCCATTACATCTATGATCATCAGAAATCATGAAAGCTATAGGAGAAAAATGTGGTGGCTGGATCGAGACGGAGGAAGAGACACAACTGCGAAATCACATGAGATGGGCTCGAATCAAAGTTAAGGGACCGGCTGAAAAGATCCCTAGAGTTGTAGAAGTAGAAGAAGGGGGAATGATCTTTTCCTTGCCATTGTGGAGCGAGATTCCGACGACCGTAAAAGTTTTCCAAGAAGAGGCAGTAGTGGAGGTACGCCCTAAGCTCTGTGATACAGGTCCTATTTTTATAAAAGAGGGGTCTAGGCACGTGGGTTCAGTAATAGGGCCCTTTAATTCAAAAATTGACAGTTGCATCCCACGTGCCACTGAGAAGGGGAATTGCTCTAATGAGAGTTAATACTGAGGCGGGCCGAGCCCAAGAGAAGCCCAAGACTTCACAAAAAATAAAAGGTCCAGATGTTTCTACAAAACTGTTTAATGAAAAAAGCCCTAGTCCAGACCCTATTACTACTCCACCCAAGTCTGCTTATGAAGAGAGCCCAAGAACAGATCCATTCATTTTGGAGATTGAAGCGAACCACTCCTCTCTCAATCGTAAGACCCTTACACCACATATGACATCACAAATTGAATTATCAGTGGAGACATGTACTGAGTCTCCTCATAACCTTGCATGCCAAGCTGCAATTGACGATGAAGAAGAAGATACAATCAACCCTCGTACGGGGATCCAACTTGCATGTCTCAGTTCAAATGAGGGAATTGAAGAAACAATCAATCTTCAAAGGGGGGCTCAGCAAACCACAATTGGCTCAATTCCAGAGAATCAATCACAAATCATCCCCTACAATGACTTTGAATTTTGGTAGATAGAGGATGTCACACCACTGGAGATACGTAATTGAATTGCAGAAGATGAGGCTTCATTATGGGTTCAAAAAAATGTTCTCAAACTAAGTAAACAATATGGGGTAGATTTCCAGGGGTGCGAATGGGAGGCACTAACTCTATTTATGAAGGTTGACAGAAGGAGAAACGAGAAAAAGGTAGTTGATCTTAATACTAACTCTTTGACTCCAAAGAACAAAGGCACCAGAGAAATTCAAAATTTGCAGTTCGGGATCAAATTCAAGGATGGTGGGTCTAGAAGCAGGGGAAAGAGCTTAACCATTAGTTCCCAATGAATTTGAAAATCATATCATGGAATGTTAGGGGCCTCAATGATAAAGGGAAAAGGAACATCATCAAGTCACTGATCCAGGAGCGGAGAGCAGACATCTATTGCTTCCAAGAAACTAAATTGGAAGGTAATGTCTACATGTTTGTTAAAGAAATATGGGGGAATAGATGGGTAGATTGGGCATGCTTGGAATCAAATGGTAGGAGTGGTGGTATTTTAATTTTATGGGATAGAAGAGCATGGGAGGGAGAAGTTGTTAATTCTGGGACACAGAGTATTACTTGCAAATTTACTGCTCTGAACCAGGAGTTTACTTGGCACATCACTGGGGTTTATGGCTCAAATGATAGAATCGAGAGACAAGGATTGTGGTGGGAGCTGGCTGCTAATAGAGGAGCTTACACAGGGCCATGGGTGATATGTGGCGACTTTAATATCACTAGATATGCTGCAGAAAGAAGAAATTGCACCAGGCGCAATAGAGCAATGATCGAATTCTCGGACCTAATAAATGAACTAGAACTAATTGATCTTCCTTTGGATGGAGGAATCTACACTTGGTATAAGGGGATCAATCATTTGGCTGCGTCAAGATTAGATAGGTTTCTAGTTTCCACTGAATGGGATGAGGAATTCAGGTTCATCAAACAATCCTTATTACCAAGGACAACATCTGATCATATTCCAATTTTACTACAATGTGGGGAATGGGAACAAACGAAGTCTTACTTCAAATTCGAAAACTGGTGGTTGGAGGTAGAAGAATTCACAGAGAAAGTAAAGGAATAGTGGGATTCCCTAGTGGTTAGCGGCAGGCCTGATTATATTTTAGCAACCAAACTAAAGCTATTGAAGGCCAAATTGAAGGAGTGGAGTTCAAGTAACTATGGCAACCTGGGAGCGAAAAAGTCTGCACTTTTAGAACAACTGCTACAATTTGATAGGATCCTGGAACAAAGAAATCTCACAGATGATGAACTGATTACCAAAGCCAATGTAGAAATAATGAAGTTCCATGAAATTGCTAAATATGAAGAAACAACATGGAGACAAAGATCCAGAGTTCTTTGGTTAAAACAGGGAGACAAGAACACCAAGTTCTTCCATAGAATGGCAAATGCTCACAGAAGATTCAATACTCTGGACAAGCTGGAAATTAATGGAGAGCAAATAACTGACTCAGAGGTCATTATAAAAGAGATCGTAGAGTTTTACATATGTTGAAACTGAGATATGGAGACCGGATTTACATATATGGGCTACCCAAAAATTTCAGAAGAAGAGGATGTGTGGCTCCAGAGGACTTTTCAAGAACAAGAAGTCTTGGAAAACATCAAATTATGTGCTATTGACAAAGCTCCAGGCCCAGATGGTTACTCTATGGGATTCTTTCACACATGCTGGGATGTGGTGAAAGATGACATTATGAAGACTGTGGAGAATTTCCACACTCAAGAATTTTTTTAGAAAAGCTTCAATGCTACATATGTAGCTCTGATTCAAAAAAAAGGGTGCCAAGGAGCTGAGAGGCTTCAGGCCAATTAGCTTGATTGGGAGTGTGTACAAGATCATCTCTAAAATATTAACTGAAAGACTAAAGAAAATGATGGATAAACTGGTGGATAAACATCAAATGGCATTCATAAAAGGACGACAGATTATGGACGCTGCATTGATAGCTAATGAAATTGTGGACACAAGTCTGAGAGCTCAGATGCCGGGAGTTCTTTGTAAACTGGATATTGAAAAGCATTTGATCATGTCAATTGGAAGTTCCTTATCAAAATTCTAAAAGAGATGGGCTTTGGCAGGAAGTGGCTAAGTTGGATTCATTTCTGCATTAGCACAGTTAAATTTTCAGTCCTCATCAATGGATCTCCAGAAGGCTTTTTCCCATCTCAGAGGGGGCTCAGGCAAGGAGATCCCCTATCCCCTTCCGTTTATTTTAGTAATGGAGGGCCTCAATAGCATGTTAAAGAATGCCAAGTCAAATGGATGGGTGAGGGGATTCAGAGTTTCAAATAACAACTGCAACATGGAAATTTCCCACATTTTATATGCAGATGATTCTTTGATATTATGTGATGCAAACATTGACCAACTAAGGCACATCAGATTAATTCTAACAGTCTTCGAGGCAATATCAGGCTTACATGTCAATTGGAGGAAGAGTATGTTATATCCCGTTAATGAAGTGGATCAACTACAAANCAAGAGATATGGCAGGGGGTGATTGAAAGAAGTGAAAAGAGGCTAGCAAAATGGAAGAGTCAATACCTTTCTTTTGGGGGAAGAGTGGTCCTGGTAAACAGTGTGTTAGACTCCATCCCTACTTATGTATGGATGGGGGTGTGAAATTGGAACCCTACCAACAACTTACCTGGGGTTGGCTTTAGGGGCAAAGAACAAATCTCAAGGATATGGCAGGGGGTGATTGAAAGAAGTGAAAAGAGGCTAGCAAAATGGAAAAGTCAATACCTTTCTTCTGGGGGAAGAGTGGTCCTGGTAAACAGTGTGTTAGACTCCATCCCTACTTATGTAATGTCCTTGTTTCCTATTTCAGCTAAAGTGGAAAAGAGACTTGACGAAGAAAATTCATTTGGCAAGGTAACAAGGAGAACAAAACTTATCACCTGATGAATTGGAAGACTCTCATCTCCAGCAAGAAAGTGGGTGGCATGGGTATCAAAGATTTGAGGAAGCAGAACAAAAGTCTACTTTCAAAATGGCTTTGGAGAGATATAACTATGAGGAAGAAGCATTACGGAGGCAGGTGATCAACTACAAGTATGGCCAGTTATCCCATTGGTGCACCAAAAATGTGAAAGCTACTTTTGGAGTTAGTAATTGGAGAGCTATCAGATCTCTTTGGCCCAATTTCATCACCCACTGTGGCTTCAATATTGGTGATGGCAGTAGAATTTCTTTCTGGCATGACAATTGGCTTGGGCACGGTCCTCTCAAAGATTTATTTCCTGACTTACACAACTTACTATCCAGTTCTGAAGCAACAATTGGGGAGATGTGGGGTCAGCAGGGGTGGAACTTCAATCCCAGAAGGTCTCTAAATGACTGGGAAATTGACAGAGTAGCTGAGCTATTGAGGCATCTGGAGTTATTTCAGGGCACAACAAATACAACAAACTCTTTGATATGGAAGGGGACTAGCAAGAAGACATTCACAGTGAAATCAGCTTACACCGTACTATCGGGAAACAATCAGGGAGACAACAATTGGCCTTGGAAACAAATTTGGAAAACCAAGGCTCCTTTCAAAGTGGTATGCTTTTCGTGGTTAGTTGCTAAGCAGGCCTGTCTAACTCATGAGAACCTAATGAAAAGAGGATTTCAACTGAGCTCCAGATGCTATCTGTGCTCTACAGATTCAGAAAGCAATAGCCATTTGTTTCTGCACTGTAGAGTTACTTCCCAGTTGTGGCAACTTTTTCTCAGCATGATTGGACTTAGGTGGACTATGCCAAAAACCACAACAGATTTACTGAGATGCTGGAATAAGCAGGAGGGCAGTGTAAGGCAAAAAGACTGGTGGAATTTGATCCCAATGTGCATATGGTGGATAGTTTGGAAGGAAAGGAATGCCAGGTGCTTTGAAGACAGAAGCAGTCCTATTCAGAAGTTAAAGGTGAACTGTATCTTGTTGTTCCATTTTTGGTGTAAAGAAAATTATGTGAATGATGAAGCATCGATTTTAGACATCATAGAATCCTTTTAAGAAGAACAAGGATAGGTTTTTGCTTCTTTTGGAATCTGTAAATGGTTGCCAGCACAACCTTTGTGCTGGGTTTCTTTTTTTATAATACATAACTGTTACCTTTGTCAAAAAAAAAAAAAATTTCACATTTCTTAGTCCAAACGATTCTTGGCTATTTTTTAATTATCTTTTTTGCATTACAATTTTTTTTTTTTGTTTGTGTGTGTGTGTGTATATATATATATATATATATATATATATATTATTTCTTGCGTCTTTTTTGCAATGCTAATATTTTAATGGGCTGCGCTTGAAGTTCCAGTAGACACTTGGCGCTTTATTATGCATGTTTCCTTTGACAACACTGAATTCTGAGCTAGCATTTCTTCAAAACCTGAGCTGGTAAAATTGGGTGAAAAATATAAATTCACAAAGAAATATAAAGAAAAGTTTTGCTCATCTGTTCTTGAAGGCTCTCTTAATTCTGAAATACCCTGATTTTTTTTCCAAAAACTCAGGAGGCTTATCAAATTAATCCACTTTCTACTTCAAATAGATATTGAAAATGTCTTCTGGAATGAGAAAATCGTATACCCTGATTTGTCTTTTTAATCATACAGTGTGATAATGGTGGATGAAGCCCACGAAAGGTCCCTCTCGACGGACATCTTATTGGGACTACTGAAAAAGGTTGATCACCAAGTACTCTAGACTGATTATTGTATTATCTTATCGTCTAAGTGCACTTATTTTATTTCTTCTCTCTTAAAATATTATTGTTTCCTGTGGCTTCCACAAAATTTAGATACAAAGGCGTCGTCCTGAGCTACGTATTGTAATATCATCGGCTACAATTGAAGCAAAATCAATGGCTGCTTTCTTTAATACCAGGTTTGTTATTCTTGGGATGAGTGTTTACTGAAGCTTTATAATTGTATACTCAAAAGTCAAAAGTCCAAATCTCCTGCCTGCTTTCCGTTGATGCAATTTCAGTTGAGAAGACAATCCCTACAGCTGATTTCTCTTTGCTATCTTTGTTTCATATATCTCCACTTTAAGATATATGGAACTTCATAGTGCTAGTTAGTTGGTAAATTAGTGAATGATGTTTCCTGCCTCTGTCTTTGTGCTTAGGATCTTACCCATGCCATTGAGAACGAAGACAGGAACTCTATGATAAAGATAGAAATGACTTTTGAAGAAGCATGTGGTACATTAGTTGAACTGCTTATAGGAATGTTAATATCATAATTATTAGTTTGATACCTTTGACACTTCAATATCATGAAGTAAGAACCCTATTATTCCCACTTCTGAGTAACACTTGTTATTTTATGCTTCAACTATCTAGCAGCATTTGATCCCTTTCTATACATAATATTTTCTTTCAGCATCATATTATTTGGTTCCAAAAATCAGTAATTGTGTTTTCATAAACAGCCGCCTATCTTCTTTTAGTATCTAGGTTTAGTGTGCACTAAAACTTTTATATGTGACAAAATATTAGCAAAAGACGACGAGAGCAGAAGCAAGGACCAACAAGAGAACCTGCTATTCTGTCAGTTGAGGTATATGGATTTGTGATACAATTACTCTTTGCTTGTCTGCACAGCCAAAAATCAATAAAGTTGATTAACTGGTTCACTTTGAGTTACAACATGACTATAGAATCATTACGTATTCCGTGAAACATCTAGGTAGCGGATTTCGTTGGGGATTTTCTCTGGTTGATTTGCAACATTACTGATATCATCTTTTTACACTGATCTTCCAGGGTAGGGGATTTAATGTGGAGATATTCTATGTTGATGATCCTGTTTCTGATTACGTTCGGGCCGTTATTTCTACAGTGTTGTCGATCCATGACCAGGTACACACTAGAGCATGACTTCTTTGATCTATTGGCCACATCATGGTCAAATGTAAATTTGAGGCAAATTTGCAAGCGCATGATAAATAAATTTCGAAAGACCCATTTAAGTTGAGGGGGTTGGCCTACTCAGACATATTTTGGTGCAGAAACACAGCTGAGTATTATGCTTCGTGTTCTTGTTTCATTTGTCCGCAATGTGTTCCATGTGGCCTCCTAGAGTAGATGTCTTTGAGGGAGACAATGATTGAAATTCGTGATGTCTCAAAATTTCTGCTCTAGTCTAATAATTTATCTTTGAGTTCATCAGGATAACTTTCCTATAATTTGTCTCTTATTTGATTCTTAATATAATATCATACAGCAGTTGACTTATGGCTCTTCATTTATACTTGTAGGAGCGGACGGGAGATATCTTGGTGTTTCTCACTGGTCAAGATGATATTGATGCTGCAATACAGTTGCTCACCGAAGAAGCCCAAAGTAGTGGGAACCAAGGTACTGAATAATTCCCTGAGCTATTGCTGAGTGTTAATAGTACTGCTAAGTGCTAACAAATAATAGAAAAGTGGTTGTAATAAATACAGTGCCTTTTCTCAAAATAAAGAAAATAAAAAAAGGATACATACCAATTTTTTGATTCACTTTTCTTGCAGGACTGGTTGCTGTGCCATTATACTCGGGACTTTCTCGAGCAGATCAGGTGGGATAATGCATCATGCAGTTTTTAGGTCAAGGTTTATTGAACTTTTCACCAAATAGTTCTGTTTTTTCTTGATTACAGGATCTTGTGTTTTCCCCTACTCCTAGAGGAAAAAGAAAAGTGATATTTTCAACGAATATTGCTGAGACGTCATTGACTTTAGAGGTATAAATCTGAAACTTTGGGGTCAAAATCTGCGAGGCATACATGTTATTAGGTTTGTCTTCATTACATTCCTGATTCCTGAGCTGGGAATTTTCTTTCTGCGTTCAGGGAATTGTCTATGTTGTTGATAGTGGGTTCTCAAAACAACGGTTCTACAACCCGGTACTTTGTTTCTCTCTGTTTGACTTAACTCTTTTCCCATGCTTTTGATCAGCCTTTTGTGGTTGATGACATTGCTGCTATTTTGTTTAATATCTGCACACACGTCGGTTTTGGGCCTCATTTAGTAGCAATTTTCTAAGTCTTTATCTGGCTTTGTGCACCAAGAATCAGCATTGTCATATTGTATAATAAGTTTGTTTTGTGTAAGCTTGAATTTTTTTATCACTATGACCCCTCATTCTTCCTGTTGGTCACTTTGCTCTAACTGGATGGAGCTCAAAACATGCTTTTAATGATCAAACGTGGAAGATAATTTAATCTGTCACTATGAAGCATCATGTTCTATATGTTGGACTCTAGCTTCTTCTGAGGAAAACTATCTATATTTTTTGGTATTGAGCTTTCGTCAATTCTGTTGCTTCAATTTGTGGTAATTACGCCATAAATAATGCAGTTTACACGAATGAAAAGATAATTCAATGTATGCATGTCATGCCTGATATTGCATTTTCATTTTGAATCTGTTCTACATCAGATTTCAGATATTGAGAATTTGGTAGTGGCACCAATATCAAAGGCATCTGCTCGACAAAGGGCTGGTAGAGCTGGAAGAGTTCGACCAGGGAAGTGTTTTAGGTAGGTGACTTACCACATATAATAATGTGAAACTTACACTTAGAAGCACCATGGAAGATACATATCATTATGTAATAATTGATTTCTCGAAAGCTTAACACTCCCTAAGTTCCAAATTGTTATACCGACTATCGTATCCCCCGTTTGGTTTGGGCCTAATTAATCTTCGCATTGCTAACACGGAGTACATATTATGCATGTAACGATTCATTCTTGTGCTAATCAACATGTAAATAAACTAAAAAAATCTATCATCTCACTTTTTTCCATGTGACACAATTCATGTATCAAATTTCCAACTCAATGAGTTATTTGGTAAACATTTCCTTATATTGTTAATTCAAACCATGAAGTTTCGATTTGAAACAGAGCAAGTACTAATTTATAGCACATTTTATCTGAATTTAACGAATTGACGCCTTACTGTTTTTTTTGTTCTATCATAGATCTCAGTTGGTGAATGATATCACCGTATTCATGTCATTAATTCTGTTTTTTAATGACTATGTTTAATTAGGAAGTAGAGGTCTTAATTTGTCTCTAGTGCTGGGGATGCTTATGAATACCTTTACATGTTAGAGATATAATTGCTGACTCTTCTATTTTGCTGTTCAGGCTCTACACAGAAGATTATTTTGCCAGTGAGATGTCTGTTGTGGGAATACCCGAGATACAGAGATCAAACCTTGTTTCCTGTGTCATCCAGGTATGCCCTTCTTGAACCAAGAAGATGCTGCTGCCATGCTTTTCCATTATGACTTTTTCTCCTGAGGCATGGAGCTGTAAATAGGACCTCCTTATTAGGGAGGCTGGCTAGATCATCTGCCCGGGAAAATTTCAAGCCCATTGTGTTTTTTTTAACCGAGTAATCCCCGAGAAACTCGATGGATTATGGACCCGCCTTTTTATCCTCCTCCACTTAAATACGAGGATTTTGTCTGCGGCAGTTTGAACCCTGCACCTAACCCACACATCATGTGTTCTCTTACTACTAAACCAAAGTCATAAGGAAAATTACATGCGTTACGTGTCTTTACTTTTTTATGCTTGATGTTTAATTATTTAGGAACTAAAGCATTATTTTCCTCATTCTTCTCAATCTTCCCACAAAAATGGAAGGTTGGAAGGAAAATAGACCACTACCCGTAGATTTTCCCCAATGTGCAAGAGTTTTTACGCTCAACGATATCAAGTATTTTCTGTTCTTTTTTCCTTTTCTTCATTGTGACCTATAATCGTCTTTGTCCGTAATTTGATCTAACTTAACATCCGACTTCTCGGAAGCAAATAAAATAGTTGGTTTATGACTGCTGAAATTTCCTTTTTATGATTTATTTTCTGTAAGACCGCAAAAGTTTGCTCATTCATGAAGCTTCTATTATTTAACTGGGGGTAATATTCAGTCAAGAGAAAATCGTTTCATTCTGTAAGGGTAAGTTCTACTATTCATGTAAACTATAAATGGTTCCAGGCAAAACTAATAGCTTGAAAAGAAATGCTGGATTTAGTGACACATTAAATGGTTCATTTTAGAGGGTGTCATATTTGTAATCTCTGCTATGAAAATTGAAATATGGAAAATATTCCTCTGGTTGATTAATCCTTCCTCTAACCGTTGCATCTTTAAAATTGTAGTAAATCTTTTCCATCAACTACTCAACTTTCTCTTTTGTAAGTAGACATGTCCAGAGGAATTGTTTTGTTGCCTTTGCTATGATTTTTATATTTTCATCTCCTTTGTGGAGTCAAATCTAATAAGAGTCTCATCGTATTATTTCAGCCTGTCAAGAACTGTGTTGGATATTAGCTAATACCGTTTCTTTTAATGTCCCAGTTGAAGGCCTTAGGCATCGATAATATCTTGGGTTTTGATTGGCCAGCATCTCCATCACCTGAAGCGATGATAAGAGCGCTTGAAATACTGTACTCACTTGGAGTATTAGATGACGATGCCAAACTAACTTCACCTACTGGATTTCAAGTTGCAGAGTTTCCACTGGTATGTTTCTAATCGGCCATCTCGTATGCACCATTAAATTATGTAACATGTTTCTTATTTGCTGTTCAGTGCAAACCTTTTTTCAGCTCTAGTAATATGACTTGCAAGCTGGATTCTTCCCGTCAAATTTACAATTCTATTAGCTTTTTATGACACTTCTCACCAAACACTACCCCTCGTCGCCCCATTCTCCAATAAAAGGATTAAAAAAGAATAAATCATCCAAGAATATCGAGCAAGGAATATTTATGCATTTATAAAAGTAAAGTGGCACCTTGTGGTCGGCCTAGCAAGTCAATAGAATGAGATGAAAACCATAGGAGACCTGGGTTCAAATCCCAACTAAGGCAAAAGAATCTTAGGTGACTTTTTCCTATTTGCCTAAGTCTCGGTAGGCAAAGTTACCCCTTAGTGGAAGGTAGCAGGTACCTAGAGTAAACTAGACACCACCATTATATTAAAAAAATAGCAAGGGACAGGGTAAAGTGTGGAGGGCAATTTGCATAGGTCTCATCATCATCATCTGTCAACTTGAGTGTACCAAAACAACAACAACAACAACAACCTAGTAATAATCCCACAAGTGGGGTATGGGGAGGGTAGAGTGTACGCTGACCTACTTACCTCTACCCCTGAGGGTAGAGAGGCAGTTTCCGGGAGACCCTCAGCTCAAAGACAATCTGTAACATCAGCAGAATACAGACAAATAATATCAGCACCGTAAGCGACAACAAATAAGTGGAAAGGACAATAATTATGGTAATAATAAAAACTGAAAGTAAAAAAAATAAAATAAAAATAAGAAATAAAAAGTGTGATGGAACAAAAATCGCTAGCAGTCCTATACAAAACACTATCAGACTAGCTAGAACAATGAGGAAAAATGCTCAACTACCCCCTAACCTACAACCCTAATGCTCGACCTCCACATCTCCCTATCCAGGGCCATGTCCTCGGAAATCTGAAGCTGCGCCATGTCCTGACCGATCACCTCGCCCCGATACTTATTAGGCCGCCCTCTACTTCTCCTCGTATCTGTCAAAGCCAACCGAACACACCTCCTAACCGGGGCATCTAGGCTCCTCCTCCGCACATGCCAAACCATCTAGGCCTCGCTTCCCGCATCTTGTCGTCCATGGGAGCCACGCCCACCTTTTCTCGAATATCTTCATTCCTAATCTTATCTAGCCTAGTGTGCCTGCACATCCATCTCAACATCCTCATTTCGCCTACTTTCATCTTCTGGATATGAGAATTCCTGACTGGCCAACACTCAGCCCCATACAGCATGGCCGGTCTAACCACCGCTCTATAGAACTTACCTTTAAGTTTGAGTGTACCAATACCATGCCCCATAATGAAGAGTAAACATAGATGTTATTGCAATTTCTTGTTGCCTTTTCTCTATTCCATTAATTTTACTATAATCGTTGAAAATACGCACCAAATCAATCTACTATGCTTCAACCCTTTACTAGTGGAGGTCGTCCATATAAATTATTTATAGTCATTCCACTCTAATTGAGGTTGACTTCATTCCGATACTAAAAATTCGGGGTTCTCTAAAACTAGATTTATCTAAATTTCACACTTATTCCTATGTGGACATACATATTTCTAACAATAATAAATAGACTCATGATAAACACCAAGAGAGAGAGAGAATTCTTTAGCTCCTGTTGGATAGCCAATCGAGATTCAATTTTGTAAGAGCCTTTGCTTTGGGGCAGGTAGTTAAATATTGAGAGTATGAATATTTGTTTCCAGCTGCTGTGGTTGAGGTGCCTTGCTTAAACGGCAACGCTGAACTCTTTTGCCCTTTTTTTGTAATCTATCGTTCTCAATAGCAACTGGAAGATAAAGTTTGGACGTTGTTCCTTTTCTTCTTGTAATATCTAAATCTTAACTAGTAATAATACCAATTTCTACCAAGAGAACTTATGCCGTCTACGATAAAGAGCTCTCTTATATTGATGCATTCTGGGTTGTCGAGTGCCATAGATGTGAGATCAATAGGAAGTTGAGAAACTAGATGCTTGATGCGTTGCTGAAAGTCTCTCGGTGCATTACAATTATGCAATGTCACTCTTCAATTCATGGATTTAGGAATGTTCATATTCACTCAGTTTCTAAAACCTGTATTTTTGTATAGGACCCATTAATATCTAAAATGATCTTGGCTTCTTGTGAGTTAGGATGTACAGAGGAAATAATTACCATTGCTGCTACGCTCTCCATACAGGTGAATCCTCTTCTTTACGACCTAATTGATTTAGCAATAAACCAGGACTTTTTATCTTTTGTTAGACCAACGTATTGTTTTTTGTGCAGTCTATTTGGATTCCTGTTAGAGGAGTACAGAAGGAGTTGGATGAAGCAAAGTTGAGATTTGCAGCTGCCGAGGTTTTTGGTTTTTTCTTTTTGCTTACTAGGTTCACGTCAGTAACAGTTTATTTGCATTATACTGGAAGTACATGATGAACTGCACCTTCGGCAACTTGCATTTGAGTGACATTGTTTGTTCTTTATATTTAGTTGCGATTTGAACAGTTAAGAAGTTGAAAGGGAAGTTTAATATAATTCAATTGAAAACCCATTAACAAGATTTCATACGTTTACTAGTTCATGCCAGATCATTTAGACATCATCGGCTTAATTAAACTTTATAATTTAAATAAATCACACGTATTTGTGTGAGTATGATGCTTTTGAAACTCGTGGCCTTAAATATGTCATAACATTTATGTGGCTACAAAGCATTTCTATTAAGGAAATATATAAATGTGCAATTCTGTTTGGGATTCACATGAATTTACTGGAAGAAGACTAAACAAGTACTCCCTCGGTTCACTTTGCTGTACTTTTGCAGGGAGACCATGTCACGTTCTTAAATGTGTATAAAGGATTCATTCAGTCTAATAAATCTTCGAAGTGGTGTCACAAGAATTTTGTAAATTATCATGCCATGGTAAGTCCTAATCCAGCTTCCAAGGCAGGTTTTCGATGCATTTGGGTGTTTTCTCCCTTTTTTTAAAATTTTTTATTAATAGTGTTTTGTGTACTATCCGTTGTTTGGGTTTTGAGGCTCCCCTTGTGACATTCTTGATTTCCCCCCACTATATATGCAGAGAAAAGTAATTGAAGTTAGAGAACAACTGAAAAGGATTACACAACGCTTGGGCATAGGATTGAAATCTTGCGAAGGTGATATGCAGGTAACTTAATTTGCTGACTCAGTTGTTAATGTCAATAGCATTCAACAGACCGTGGAGCAGTTGCCCATGTTTTAAAACTGATTGCTCGCTTGTCATTTTTTGAAGTGTGTGACCATCTCATCTAAAAGTTTAAGTTTTTAGAAAGAGGACACTTTTATTTTCTTAATTATGTCTTCAACATGCCCCCACGTAGGGGGCCAAGCATGTGGGCATTTTTTTTAATGGTGCGTAGTGGTGAGACTCGAACCCTGCTCTAATATCATGTTGAAGCGTGTGAGCAACTCACCTATAAGCTTTTAGAGTGCACTTTTATTTTCTTAATTATGTCTTCAAGACCATTGAATGAATATTGTTGCCTGAAGCACTCTTTTCCGCTACCGAAAGGCCATCAAAGAAGAGCTACATGTGCAGCTAAGGGCTTTTATTAAAGATCTATTCTTGGGCTTAACTATTGCAGTTTGGCCTCTTTCTTGATAGCAGCATAATTCTGTAATAAAGTTTGTCTAAAACTTTTGTGGAGCCATTCTTTGCGTCATGAGCTTATGACGTAATAGACGTAACTAAAATTAGTCATTTTGCAGGCAGTAAGGAAGGCAGTTACGGCAGGGTTTTTTGCCAATGCTTCCCGTTTAGAAGTGAGTATGAGATTTGATACTTGTCTCATACTTATATTTGTCTTAAAGGGCACACTCTTTCCATTTTTATTTTTTTTCTATCTCATATTTTCTGTCCTGAGCCTATTTGATAACATCTGTTGCTCGTCTTTGAAACAGCCATTCAGTCACAATGGGATGTACAAGACTGTCAGAACGTCTCAAGAAGTTTATATTCATCCTTCATCTGTGCTGTTCAGGTATTTATTTATATATGACTGGTTTCGATAGTCCAAGGAACTATGTTATTACTTTACTTCTGCTATACGCTCTAAAGAAAGGTGCGTTTTTCTTTATGTTTATGCGGATTTTTTAGGGATTCCCATGTGGGCTTCAAACTCCTGGGATTTTGGGCTCGCCCCTCTACCTCTCTCCCAACTTAAATACCAGGCTTTTTTTGCGTTAGTGTTCGAACCCTTGAGACATGCTCCTTGCTTACTCATCACGTGCTTTGTCCTGACCACTGAACCAAAACCCTGGGAGCTAAGAAAAGGCTATACTTGTTGAGTCGAATGCATAGTTAACAAACAGTGAATGTTCCAAATTGTTGCATCCTATTATAGTATGGTTTGGTTCTTTCTTATCGCCATCCTTCCGCCTTATATGTGCCTGTGTGCATCGACACTGAGCATATTTTCTTTAATTTGATCAACGAAAGCATGGCTGAACTCGCTTCATAACTGCACTGCTCGAACACAGCTTCTACTCGAAACGGATCTTGTACTAACATCTGCATATTGTCCCTTATTACTTTAGGATAAAATAGGTAAAAATAAAACTAGATAAGTTGAAGTGTTATTATGTCTGTTACATCTTAAGTTTATAATGTGTTTTCTCAAATTTGACAGGGTCAACCCGAAGTGGATCGTATACCATTCTCTTGTTTCAACGGATCGTCAGTACATGCGAAATGTCATTACTATTGATCCTTCTTGGCTGACGGAAGCTGCACCACATTTTTATCAGAAGCAGATGCATAGTTCTATTCCTCAATGATACACAATTTTCTTGGATTCTTGGCAGCCTCATTCTGGTTTGGAAAATTGTAGCCATTTGAAAACCTTTTTAAATACACTAATAGCTCCTAGTAAAATGGTTATACTTTCTCCCAATGGTGGAGCTACATAGGTCAAGGGAGGCCAGTTAAACACCTTTCACTTGAGAATTGTATTATGTATATACGTCAAATATTACTTTGTATACATTATATTGAATATGGAACACTCCTGAACATTCTTAACGAAATTGCACGCTTTGCCATTGCGTTCTCTCATCTTTGGATTGTCATTTCTCTTCCTCGTTTTTTTAACCCTATACTAGCGGAGATAGATCTGAGACTAAAAGAGCATTGCGTAAGTTACTGATTAACAATATTCATATTTATCTACCGAGCTAACTGCTCTTCCAAATTAAGCTGCTATACATAAGATTACCATGTTCAAGATCTCGATATATATATTACGGATAAAGGTTATTTCTATACTTAATTTAATCAAAAATAAGATCTTAGTTCGAACTCTAAAAATGATAAATCTTTTTATAGGAACTGTTTCATTGTACAGTCAAGCCTTTCTATAACAACTTCTTTTGCTCCGATTTGGCTGCTATAGCAAAGTGTTGTTATAGAAAACATATATTATAACATAACATGAAAATCGGTTCCACGAAAAACTTGGCTTTTATAGTGAATGAATGTTATATAAGGGTGCTGTAACGACCTGGCCGGTTGTTTTGAGAGTTGTAGCCCCGTTCCCCCATTTCCTGCTTCTTTTGCGTTCTACAACTGTATTATGACTTACCGAGTTAGTTGGTTCGGGTCCGGAGTGATTTCGGAGTGAATTGAGACACTTAGTCTCTTGATTGAGAGCTTAAGTTGGAAAAGTCGACCAGATGTCGACTTATGTGTAAATGACGTCGGATTTGAATTTTGATAGTTCAGTTAGCTCCGTTAGGTGATTTTGGACTTAGGAGCGCGTTCGAAATGTGTTTTGGAGGTCCGTAGTAGGATTAGGCTTGAAATGGCGAAAGTTGGAATTTTGAGAAGTTTGACTGGGAGTGGACTTTTTGATATCGGGCTCGGATTTCAGAAAGTTGGAGTAGGTTCGTGCTCATTTATGACTTGTGTGCAAAATTTGAAGTCAATCGGACGTGATTTGATAGGTTTCGACGTTATTTGTAGAATTTGGAAATTTCAAAGTTCAATAGGCTTGAATCCGTGTGAATTTTGTGTTTTTGATATTGCTTAAGGTGATTTGAGGGTTCGACTAAGTTCGTATGATGTTTTGGGACTTGATGGTATGTCTGGTTGAGGTCCCAAGGGCCTTGGGTGGGTTTCAGGTGGTTAACATATCATTTTTGGACTTTGGTTGATAGGTCATATCTGCTGGTGTATTTTTCTGGTTTTTGAGGTGGATTTTTGAGGTTTTGAATGGGATTTTACTATCGGATTTGAGTAAATTTGGTATGGTTAGACTCGTGAGTGAATGGGCTTTCATTTTTTGTGAATTTTTTCGGATTTCGAGACGTGGGTCCGGGGGCCGGGTTTGAGTAAATTTTGGATTTTGAGTTATAATCTCTAATTTTTCTTGTGGAATTGATTCCTTTAGCCCGTATTTATTGTATTATACTGTTTATGGTTATTTTCGGGACATTTGGAGGCCGACTCGCGAGGCAAGGGCATTTTGGAGTAGAGTTTTGCTCGGCTCGAGGTAAGTAACATTTGTAAATTTGGTCCTGAGGGTAGGAAACCCCAGATTTTGTGTCTTGTGACTATTTTGGAGGTGACCCACATACTAGGTGACAGACATGTAGGCGTGCACGGAGGGGATTGTGACTTGGCCCGTCCCGTGCAACTGTAAAGTTGAATAATCTGCTGTTAGCCATATGTTCTCTATGTGATATAGAAGCTTGACTGTAAATCATGTTTAAGCTATGTGTTGGTATTGTTGGGACCCTTAGAGGTCGCGTTTCATGTTGAATTGCCTGCTAAATGCTATTTATACTTAGTCACAGTTTACTCGCATATCATATCTCAGTCTCTGTCATTTTTATTGTTTCATCATGTTATTGCTGTTTGGGCTGATTCTCCCTGATTTTTGAGAGTCCGAGAGATTGGATAGATTGATGACTGAGTGAGGCCGAGGGCTTGATTGTGAGGATATTTATGGGATCGGGCTGCACGCCGCAACATATTTCATTGATCTATGGCATGATTGGATTGATATAGCGGTTGGGCTGTTGGAGCCTCTCCGGAGTCTGTACACACCCCTAGTGAGTGCGGGTACCTACTGAGTGCGTGTGTCGAGTGTCGAGTGCCGAGTGTTGAGCGATCATGAGAAATGAGTGATTGTGAGGTTGGAGTGAATGGGAGAACTGAGTGTTGGTTGTCCTGAGAGGCTGTATATGATTTCATTATTTATGCATACAGTTGCCTTATATCATTGTTTGAGAACCGCCAAAAGATGTTTTTTTTATCCAGTTTTAACTTGAACTTGACTTAAACAAACTAAATTAATTTGATTTTGCCGGATTTGGAAGGCATGTCTATTTTCCGTGCTAAGACTACTGAAATTGCACTATAACTGTGTAACTCGTCACTATCTTAAGTTCCTTATTTATCATTGTTACTTACTGAGTTTGTTGTACTCCCGCTACACCCTGCACTTCATGTGCAGATCCAAGAGTCTCTGGATGCGGCGAGTGTCGATAGTTCTCGTAGATGATCCTTGGAGTTAGCGAGGTAGCTGCCCGGCGTTCGCAGCCTTGCTTTCTTCTTCTTTATTCACTCTTTTCATCGTATTTGGATTTCCAGACTATGATAGTCATATTATTTTCAGACCAGTTATGTCAGATGCTCATGACTTAGTGAGATTGGATATTTCGCATCCTAGTCGGGTTCTAGTTTGTGTTGTTTCTCGGTCTTCCTTATTTGATCGCATCAGAGGGCGCCAGTACGATGATCCTTATTTGCTTTTCCTCAAGGACAGGGTTTAGCACGGTGATACCAGAGATGTGACTATTGGTGATGATGGGGTGTTGAGGATGTAGGGCCGGATATGGTGCCCAATGTAGATGGGCTACGGGAGTTGATTCTTAAGGAGACCCACAGCTCACGGTATTTCATTCATCCGGGTGCCGCGAAGATGTATCAGGATTTGAGGCAGTACTATTGGTGGAGGAGAATGAAGAAGGATATAGTTGGGTTTGTAGCTCGGTGTCTCAACTGCCAACAGCTAATATACGAGCATTAGAGACCAGGTGAATTGCTTCAGAGGATAGAGATTCCAGAGTGGAAGTGGGAGCGTATCACCATGGATTTCGTAGTTGGGCTCCCACAGACTTTGAGGAAGTTCGATGCTATTTGGGTGATTGTTGATCGACTGATCAAGTTCGCGCACTACATTCTAATTGGTGCTACTTATTCTTCAAAGCGGCTGGCTGAGATCTACATCCGAGAGATTGTTCGCCTTCATGGTGTGCCAGTTTCCATCATTTCAGATAGAGGCACGCAGTTTACATCGTAGTTTTGGAGGGCTGTGCAGCGAGAGTTGGGCACTCAGGTTGAGTTGAGTACAACATTTCACCTTCAGACGGACGGACAGTCCGAGTGCACTATTCAGATATTGGAGGACATGCTACACACTTGTGTCATTGATTTTGGGGGTTCATGGGACCAGTTTCTGCCGCTCGCGGAGTTTGCCTACAACGACAGTTATCAGTCGAGATTTCAGATGGCTCCGTATGAGGCTTTGTATGGGAGGCGGTGGCGATATCCGGTGGGTTGGTTCGAGCTGGGTGAGTCTAAGCTTTTGGGTACAGACTTGGTTCAGGATGTATTGGACAAGGTGAAATTGATTCAGGAGCGACTTCGCACGGCGTAGTCGAGACAGAAGAGTTATGCTGACAGGAAGGTCCGTGATGTGTCTTACATAGTTGGGGAGAAGGTTTTGCTGAAGGTTTCACCCATGAAGGGTGTTATGAGATTTGGGAAGAAGGGCAAGTTGAGCCCTCAGTTTATTGGGCCGTTTGAGGTGCTTCGAAGGATTGGGGAGGTGGCCTACGAGCTTGCTTTGCCTCCTAGATTATCGAATGTGCATCCAGTATTTCATGTTTCTTCGAAAGTATATCGGCGATCCGTCTCATGTTTTGGATTTCATCACAGTTCAGTTGGATGGTGATTTGACTTATGATGTGGAGCCGGTGGCCATTATGAAGCAGCAGGTTCGAAAGTTGAGGTCAAAGGATATAGCTTCAGTAAAGGTGCAGTGGATAGGTCAGCCCGTGGAGAAGGCTACTTGGGAGATCGAGCGGGAGATGCGAATCAGATATCCACACTTATTTGAGACTCCAGGTATGTTTCTAGACCCGTTCGAGGACGAACGTTTGTTTAAGAGGGGGAGGATGTAACGATCTGGTCGGTCGTTTTGAGATTTGTAGCCCTGTTCCCCTCTTTTCCTTCTTCTTTTGTGTTCTACAGCTGTATTATGACTTACTGGGTTAGGTGGTTCGGGTCCGGAGTGATTTCGGAGTGAATTGAGACACTTAGTCTCTTAATTGAAAGCTTAAGTTGAAAAAGTCGACCAGATGTCAACTTATGTGTAAATGACCCTGGATTTGGATTTTGATGGTTCTGTTAGCTCCGTTAGGTGATTTTGGACTTAGGAGCGCATCCGAATTGTGTTTTGGAGGTCCGTAGTAGGATTAGGCTTGAATTGGCGAAAGTTGGAATTTTGGAAAGTTTAATCGGGAGTGGAGATCTGGATATCGGGTCCGGATTGGATTTTCGGAAGTTGGAATAGGTTCATGGTGTCATTTATGACTTGTGTACAAAATTTGAAGTCAATCGGATGTGATTTGATAGGTTTCGACATCATTTGTAGAATTTGGAAATTTCAAAGTTCATTAGGCTTGAATCCGTGTGAATTTTGTGTTTTTAATGTTGTTTGAGGTCATTTTAGGGTTCGAACAAGTTCGTATGATGTTTTGGGACTTGATGGTATGTTTGGTTGAGGTCCCGAGGGCCTCAGGTGAGTTTCGGGTGGTTTATAGAACATTTTTGGACTTTGGTTGATGGCTGATATCTGCTGGTGTATTTTTCTGGTTTTCTCTTACGCGTTTATGAGAGGAGCCTCGCGTTCAAGAAGAGTGTTTGTGAGCTGGGGAGATTCTGTTCTTCGCATTCACGAAGGAGAGGATGCGAACACGAAGGTGTGGCTGTGTGTGCATCGCGAACGCGTGAGTGGTGTCGCGTTCGCAAAGAGGAGTGAGGCGGCT